TTTCAGTTTTTCTTAACCGAAACTAACCAGAGACCTTATTTAATCAGTGTAAGAACCGAAACCAACCATAGTGTACAAAAACATCAAGATGCGTAGAAATTAATAATAAGAACTTAATCTTTACACGTAAAAACATTTAAAAAAACAAGCTATAATTGCAAAATGTCATTTTTGGTGTGTTTATTTTTAAAAATATTATTATAGATCGTCCATTAATAAAAATGCTATTAATAAAAAAAATTTAAACTTTGAATCTTAAAATTCTATATCCTGAAAAAGATTTTGATCCCAAACCCCTCAAAACTAAACCCAAATACAATATAGTAAACCTAAACATAAATATTATATTGAATAAATGATTTTGAAGAATAGTATTTTTGAAAAATGACATAAAATAATATTTCTAAAAAATTCTCGAAAAACAATGCATAAATAGTGAATACCAGACATTTTAATTAGGGGTGCAACGATTCCGGATATCCTGGAATTTCAGGATATCCGGATCCGGATCCGGAATCGACGGATCCGTGAAAAAACTATCTGGATCCGGAATCGTGATCTCCGGATATCCGAGCTCTAGATATCCGACCAAAAATCAGGATATCCGCGGATATCCGGATCCGGATCCGAAATTAATATTAAAAATAATTAAAATAATAAATAAATAAATATAAATATATTTTTAAAAATTATTAGTTAATATTTTAAATGGTATTTTTCATTATAAATATAATTTATTATAAAAGAACTAAAATCAATTTTTATATATATTTATTTATATAAAATTAGTTTAATAGATATATAATATATATGTTTTTAATATATTTAATACGTCCGGATCCGGATATCCGGACCTTAAAATTTTGCTATCCGGATCCGGATCCTCTTTTCACAGATCCTAAATTTTACTATCTTTATCCGGATCCGGACTCCCCGGATATCCTAATTTTTGGAACGATTCCGAACAGATAACGGATCGAATCCCGGATAATAATTCCACCCCTAATTGTAATAGTCCAAGTCTTTGTAGCATGACAGCTTCTTCACACAATCGCCACGAAACCGACATTGAATTAATTTTATAATCCAATCATATAATGAAAGCATCAAAACAATATTCCCAAATCTCATTGTCGCTTTCCTCAAGTAACAACTTGCCAGCA